GACTCGTTAACTTATCGTGTGCAAACATATAAATAAAAATCATGTACATATCAATGGAATTGTATTGTGTTGACCCGAACAACTGCAAATTTAATTGCCATTTTTGCAAACTTGGTCATCAAGCAAGTAAATCCAAATGAAGTTAGTTTGTGATCATTGATCCTTTAAATCATAAATCACAAGATCCTATACTCAAGACACTCTGGGTGAATCGAGATTTTTTTTTTTTTAACTTTTAAGGATGACACAAAATGAACATATAATAAGGATTTCAGAAATTATGAAGGTGCAACTTTACAGTTGAATCTGATAGGAAAGAATGGGCAAAAGCTGCATGTATGGCAGCCCCAATGGGAAACACATCCTCATCGATGATGTAGTTAGGACTATGTGGTGCATGTATGGCTCCTATCTTCTCATTTCTTGTGCCTAAAAACAGCATGAATCCAGGCACCTTGTCTAAGTAAAAAGCAAAATCCTCACTCCCCATGGAGGTATGAGCTAGTTGTATGTTTTCTTCTCCTACTATTTCGCTCGAGATTCCCCTTACTTGTTCATAAATTCTCTCGTCGTTTACAGTAGGAGGGATGGTAGGATGTTCCTTCCCTAAAAACTCGACCTCAGCGGAGCACCGGTGCACGGCTGCCTGCCCTTTTACAACCTGTCAGCAAGAATGAATTTCAGTTGTCTGTTTACGCTTATCTGGACGCGGTTACAGTTTGCTAAACAAACAATAAGTCGGACATAATAAATCAGGTTAGCGTTTCTTCGATTCTGTTTATTTCATATGCAATTTTGAATTTTGATAAAAAGTTGGTAACCGGTTCTATATGTGCCTACCTCTTCGATTCTATTCATGAGTCCCTTGAAGTTCTTCTTGCTAAAAGCTCTAAAAGTACCAGAAATTGTAGCTGATTCCGGGATGACATTAAAGGAAGACCCCGCTTTAATCACAGAAACAGAAACCACCTGCATTAATGTTCAAGCAAAATCCTGCATCCTCTTCAAAATAATCACAGACGAAATTACACAAAAAAAAAAAAAAAGGAACAGTATACATACCTGGGAATCTAGAGGGTCTGTTTCCCTCGAGACGATGCTCTGCAAACTGATTACAGATGTTGATGCTGCCAAAATCGGATCAATGGATTGCTGAGGAATTGCTGCATGACCCCCTTTCCCGTGAATTTTCGCCTTGAAGCTCCCACAACCGGCTAGAAATTCTCCAGGCCTCAATCCAACAACGCCAGTCGGATAATCAAGCACTATGTGCATCCCAAAAACTGCCTCCACATTATCAAGCACCCCTTCTTCAATCATGTCCTTTGCGCCTACACCGCGTTCCTCAGCCGGTTGAAATATAAGTACAACAGTTCCCTGCAATAATCTGATAGATTTAAAATATGACATACGTGCGGATAAATTGAGTGGTTAGCGTCACATTAATTAGTTAGCTTTCAGCGTTCGAGCGCCTGTATATATCAGCAAATGAGTTTTTATTAATTAACTTAATATTTCACTTCACCTGTAATGTGTCTTGCAGTTGTTTTAGTATTTTTGCAGCGCCAAGAAGCATGGCGACGTGGCCGTCGTGGCCGCAAGCATGCATTTTTCCCTCCACTTTGCTCTTGTTCTCCCAGTCCACCATTTCCTATACTCATATGCAGAAAAGTGCTGTCAACATGACAGTGCTTTTTTAAAAAGCATCAATTTTTTTCAACATTCCACTTTTAATACCTTGTTACAAACACTTTGATTAAAAACCAGTGACAAGGAATAAAGTAGCAACAGAATATATATCTATCAATCTGATCAAAACCCAACAATTTAAATTGCCTTTGAGAAAAGAAGGTTAAACAAACAAAATTAAATTAAATATAGTGAGAAATAATTAATTAACCTCAATAGGCAAAGCATCCATATCAGCTCTCAGAGCAACAAAGGGAGGAGAGCCAGAGCCAATCGTGGCTACAACGCCAGTTTTAGCCACAGGCCATTTATAAGCAACACCGAGTTTTTCGAGCTCCCGGCGAATGAGTGCACTTGTTTCGAATTCTTCATATGAAAGTTCTGGGTTCTCATGCATTTCCCTCCTCACACTTTTCATCCAATTCACTGTGCTGGGTTCATTGGCCAGCCTAACTATCTGGTCTTTCACTGAATAAGTCTGATATGTGGAGAACGAGTTGAGATGATCGGTTGGGTTACTTTGGAGTTTCAGAGAAAAGCACAAGGGCATGGCGATGGAGATTATTAGGAACAAAAGTTGCAGAAGAAGAAAGTCCATGTTGCACAAATTGCAGATGGAATAATGAGCGAGTAGCTTTGCTAGGTATAGTCAATTATATACACATATATATATACACAAATTAAAATTAAAATGATACAGTGATTTTAAAGACTTTTCAGCTTTGAAATGAATGAAAATGACACCAGCACCGGAAAAAAAAACGGAGAAAAAGAAATGCTCTTTCGTTGAGGAAAATCAAAACTTCAAAAGCTTCTGAAAGTAAAACAAAATATTCCTAATTTTACTCGATCTGAAAATATCAGAGATTATGTAAGCGTGGATTATTCTACTTGGTAATAGTAATACGGTTTCTTTTTCTTGTTTCTCTGACTTTATCCGCCATCGGTCGGCTGAGGAATTGAGTGATGCCTGGGGTGGATTGGACCCGACCGCATTATGTGGAGCAGATTGGAACAGCAGGGAGATGCATGCAACTGTACTGACAAGTGACTACCTACCTAAAAGGGCAAAATAGGTCACGTGTTGGAATTTAGATTAGTAGACTACTCAAATGTAAGAGAATTTTCGTGTTGAAATTGAGGGAATTGGATCCTCTCCTGGGCCCAAGGAAAGATCTTTCTAATCAAGAAATTTGGTTGGTTGGATTTTTATTTAATGACTATAAATAAAGAGATATTTTTAAAGTTATAATAATTATAATCGTTTGATGAAAATCTAACAATCTATGTTCTTTGATTAGGAGGATCCTCTCCTTGGGCTCAGGAGATGATCCAATTTCGAAATTGAGACATTGATCGGCCGTGTTACTATTTTATTTAAAGGGAATACATCTATGACATATTTTTTTACATAATTTTGTACATACATTTTTGTAGAGCTTATTTTGTACTGTATTTTATTGATTTGAACATTTTATTTTTTAGTTCTTTTTTAAAAGATTATGTTTATTAAAAATCACTCAAATATAAAATTATATGACTGTTGAATTAAGGGTTTACAGAATCTTTGTAGAATTGTATTCGTCCATGTTCTTCACTACAAATAAATGTCTCAATAGTTTTTTATTTGTCTAATTTTTTGCAAGGAAAATTCATGAATGATGTTTTAAAATATAGACGTTCAGGTTGTTAAAATACATTAAGAAGTGGGTCTCACAAAAAAAGTGTGTAAAAAAAATTATCTAAAAAAACGGTGCCATGAATCCGCCCTTTACTTAAATTATAATGTACGCATATATTTTACTTTTAAATACATGAACTATGTCGATCATGGATCATATTATAGATAAAGTAATGCTACATTTACTACCTATTTGTATCATCATTGTACCATCTCTTTAATAGAGGCAGAGTTTGCCAACGCATGTATGTCTCATCTCCATTAGAGAAATGGTATAATTGATAGTACAAATATGTGATAAGAGTAGCATTTTTGTTAGACATAACATGTGGAATATTGCTATGCAATGTAACAATTGTTCCCTAAAAATATAATTAAAAAACGTGCATTACATGGATTGGAAAAATCGCACGGAATTTACCTGGAAGAACATATGTAAGTTAGCCTAACTAATCCAATACGCAAGCAAGATGATGTGTTAATTTGTAGGGTTTTCAATCTCTTGTTTCTCTTAATTTCAGTCATAAAAAAACGTGCGATATTTTCCAGTGCATCGATCATCCGATGAGTCAATTGCCAAATCTTAAGTTGGACTTTCTTTCAATTTGCATGTGAAGAATCTGATTCACGTGCGCATTTTATAAGAGAAAATCGTCTGCCCCAGGTCTATTTCAACAATTCTCAGGTGTCACGGCAAAAGAATAAACCACGGGTTGCATATTTAACAACAATGAATCATGCACCATTTTCTTAGATTTTTCATCGTCTATACAAGTCATCCTCCTAATATGTAAAAGGTTCGAAATAAACTCAAAACCAAAACTTATCATCACAATTGTATTTAGTTTCAGTAATTTTCAAATTCTATCACAAAATACATGTATTGTGATTGTATATCTGTTAGAATCATCGTACAGTTCCAACTTTTTTTAAGGAACTTTAATCAATGTATATGTGTGAGTACTATAAATTATAGGGAGTCTTAACGAAACACTTATGATACTGTTCACTTTTAACGTTAAAGACATTTTTATTTTAAAAAGTTCATCCTGATACTATTCACTTACAACATCTTTTTGTCATTTTGGTTAAAACTCAAAGTTCTTAAACATTTTTCATTAGTTTTCCTAAAATTATATCATCTATCTCAATGTTGTTGGAAAATATTAGTATTTTGGTTTTGCTTGTTAGTTTAGGACTTGGGTCTAGTCCATCATAGTTAGGGTTTTTTAGGTTTAGTTTTCTACAAATATAGTTTGTTATTTAGTTTAAGGAACAAGTCATTCACAATGTAACATCTTAGAGTTTTGTAGCTGTTTTGATATTCTTATTTGTTTAATAATATTCTAATTTTTAATCTTATTCGTGGCGCACTCTAATATCAACTATGGTATCTCATTTTCTTAAATAGAGGTAAGATCCACATAACTTTATTTGTCAAATATTCGCACGTAATTGGGTCTTATATTTAGTGGAGAGATAATGAAATGCATCTTTTAAGAGCATTCATTTTTGCGAAGAGTTGGAATTTGAATGTATTACATTGAGTGCAGGAGTTAATACTTTTAACCACTTATTCAATACGTCATTCTTTTACTCCTACTCAATTTTTCTTCAACTTTTGATTCGTTTTATTAAAGAGTTGAAAAGTAAACGTGGACCAAATAACAATTCCGCTTTGTCAAACAAATTGTTGGGCCTATAGACCTATAATCATAGTGCACCAAAAATGGGGACTTGCTGCGAAAATAGAGGGAGTAGAAAATCATGCCCCCTCGCGAGTCCAACCCAAATCCATGCCCATAGAACAGAGTCGACCGCATGCATGCACAGCCCTCCCTTCACCTGTAATTCCTCTCTTCCACAGAAAACAATTCGCAACACTCTCTCATACCTTCTTCTCCCCACCCTCCATTCCCCACCCCGCACAAACACAAGAAGGAAACCCAACATACATTCCCCCCATTGATTCCTGCACTTCTCCATCTCCAACATCCCTCTCACTACTAACCATGGCATTCCATTCCCATGCCCTTTTCTCCCTTCTCACCCTAGTGTTTCTCATTCCCACCCTAACAGTGACCCATGCCCAACTCTCCGAAAACTATTACGAGCAAACATGCCCCAAATTCCACGAAACCGTCCACCATGTCGTCGTCGAAAAGCAAATAGCCACCCCCACTACTGCCGCTGCCGTCCTTCGCCTCTTCTTCCACGACTGCGTCCTCGAAGGCTGTGACGCCTCCCTCCTCATCGCCTCCAACTCCTTCAACAAGGCGGAGAGGGACGCCGAGATCAACGCCGCCATCCCCGGCGACGGCTTCGACATCATCACCCGTATCAAGACCGCCCTAGAGCTCCAGTGCCCCGGCATCGTCTCCTGCTCCGACATCCTCGCCGCCGCCGCCCGCAACCTTATCAACATGGTCGGGGGACCCCACTACACCCTCCTCTTCGGCCGCAAGGATGGCCTCGTCTCCCGGGCCGATCGCACGGAGGGCCACTACGCCAAGGCCAGCATGACCGTCTCCGAGCTCATCAACCTCTTCGCCTCCATCAACCTCTCTGTCCAGGATCTCGTCGCCCTAAGCGGGGCCCACACCATCGGCTTCTCCCACTGCAGCGAGTTCGCCAACCGCATCTTCAAATTCAGCCCGACGTCGGAGATTGACCCCGCCCTCAACCGCATCTACGCTGAGGGGCTGAGGAAGCTATGCGCCAATCACACGACCAACCCCGGGATGTCGGCGTTCAACGACGTCATGACCCCGGGGAAGTTCGACAACTTGTATTTCCAAAACTTGCAAAGGGGGCTAGGGTTACTGGCGACAGACCATGCCCTGGGGACGGATCCTCGTACGAAGCCGTTCGTGGATCTCTATGCCACCAACCAGGCAAAGTTTTTCGAGGATTTCGCCCAGGCAATACAGAGGGTCAGCTTGATGAACGTGAAAACTGGGAAGCAGGGCGAGGTCCGCCGCCGATGCGACGCCTTCAACGACCTCAAGACTTGAACAACAAGAAAAGAAAACCTCAGCCAAATTTGAGCTCACCTATTGCTGTTGTAACCGATGTAATTTGTATTTTTTTATTTTTTTTTGTAAAGTTTACAAACACGAAAATGTTGCATCTCCCAGACATGTACCTGCAAATTTTGCAAGCAATTGAGCGTATCTTATGAAATTGCAAGCTTACAAATTCATAAACAAAAGGAAAACTGCTTCTAACGTGATGTCTGTTTCCTATGGCGAAATCGCGGGTACAACAAAATAAACTTAGCAAAGAACAGTTGGGAGCTTGTGCAGAAGCAAATACAATCCTGCCCTACTTTTTCATTCCTTAATCCAAAATGACTAGTACCCACGCAACGAGTTCATCGAACAAATTGTGCCAATTTACATGTGTGATTTGATGACAATGCCGACGGAAAAGGAACAGGATAAATAACAAGCGCATTAAGACAAAAAATTAAAGAATTTTACATTAACAATGAGCTGCCGTCATCATGCCATGCTTGACTAATGGAGCCAAATCATATGCTTACGCGGGTTGTTTAACGCAATTCTGGTCACCTTGTACTTTGCTTAAATGGATGCCAAAACCACCAGAACCAAGAACTGGAAAGAGATTGCCTGATTGATTCCCTGTAGCATTAGCATACAGAGCGCCTCTTAAAGTAAAATCAAGGTATCATCGATATGGAAGGCTGCAAAGCTAATAGAAGAAATTATGACACTCACCCCGGTCAGCAAGGTTTTCTTTTGTCAACCTTTAAGTGAAGGTTGAACCATTTGCTCTTCTTGGATCGATCTCTAAACGAAGGTTTCTTATCTCTCAACTGACCATCTTCTTTGACCTCCTTAGGCTGACCCTTATTTCTACTCCTACTTGAACTCCGCTTCATTGGAGGAGCAATAGTATAAGAGGCATGAATTTCATTCCTCTGCCTGAGAAGCTCGTCAATCTGAGAAACCCAACATAAAGAGGGGGGAAAAGGAAACAAAATGAAAACAATGGAAACTGAGTGTTGTTCAAAATTATCAATATGCTTGAACATCGACATCCAAATGGAGTTCACATAAAATAGGTATAAAGAGTTTCACCTCTTGCATTTCTTGTGTGTATCTGGAGGTCATCTCTGTAAATTGTGCTAGAACCTGTCAACAAAGCCATGCGAAAATCAAGGTGAAGGTATTTACAATTTACAAAGGGCATATGCAGTGTCATGTACAGACCTCTCTGTACTCAGTTTCAAATTTGGACAACTCCACTCTTTTTGAAAGTATTTGAGCTTCCACCGCCCTTAAACTTTCCTTTTCTTCTGCAAAAGGTCCACAAGAAAGAACTTCTATCGTGTAGCTTGCACTTTTAAAAAAATTGTCACCTACAATCAAATTTGCGATGAAACCAAGGTGATAGTGAGGTTTAGCAGAGTACGGTATAACTAATAAACATAATAACCCGGACATACAAGTCGTTAAACAGAAGTAACAAACCATAAACAGCAAACACATGGGTGCCTGCTTTTAGTTCGGTTAATTCACATGGCTGAAACCCATCCAGCTTTTTGAAGAATGCAGCATCAGGATCCTTTGCACTGGCCATCTAGAGCCAAAAGATTTCCAGAAACCATAATAAGAACAATTAGGATAACAAACCTGAAACCATATCAACAAAAACTAGAAACATGGAATTCAAAGATAGAATTAATAATTACAACTCCAACAGCTCACCGAGTTGGATGTTTGATCCAATCGATATACAGGGAAACCAAGAAAATACATCCCAGCAGATGTAACCTTCCCTGTTTTTGCACTATCCTCCTGCACCAGAAGTAAATACAAATGAGCAACTTAGACAAACATGATAAAACAGGCGTATGCCCCAGCCAACATTATAGACATGAGAAGTTGGTAGTTAGGACAGTATTGTCTAGAATGAAACTAACAGTGGCCATAACAATTATTCATAAGAAGCATCGTGGAAAGTTCCCAATATAATATTGCAGCTGATATGCAACTGTAATTCTTACGCATATATTAGTCAGTAATTGAAAATACTAGCACTGTAGCCCCACTTTCATTCTCCCTTCCATGCCTCCAACTCCAAAGAAAGATCAATTAGGAAAGAAGATGATATTAACATGCAAACCCTTGATTTTACATGACTTTAGCTAAAAGAAAAACCATGTTCTTATAAGATAAGAAATCGTCCCACTCTTCAATTCGTCCTATCTGCCACCTCGCTCTATATCTATATTATATAGTTCAGTCATAGGAAGAAGCTTATTGTGGTGCCTGGCTACACTAATGATTCATAACCCAAACAAAATTAAAGGTGAAAAGTCTTGCTACCTGTAGGCAAAGGCTCAATCCACCCGTCTCTTCCTGATCAAAATATAATAGCTACAAAAAGACAATTTCGTCCACAAAACTTGATAAGTTAAAAGCAGAACATAAATGAATAGTTACTTTCCAGGTAAACCATGTGTGAAGAGATCTAAGATTTAACCTTGAACTTGCTTTTGTCCGACGATTGCACTTGGCACACAAATCCAGCTCTTGCTTCCGCTTCCGTTATTGTAACAGAATAGAAGTGAGCACATTGCTTTTCAACCTGTTAAAAGACAGAAATATAAATGAATAAATAAAAAGGAAAACTAATGAAAAGGGCTTGAAAACTTTGAGTTTTAATGATAAGGACAAAATAAATGGTAAAGTGAATAGTACCAGGATTGACTTTTTAGTGTAAAAATGTGGTTTTTCGTTAAAGTGAACAGTACCGGGTGCTTTTCGTTAAAGTTCCCTAAATAAAACACTATAATTAAAATAATAAACCAGGCCAAAAAAGGATAGCTTACCTTTTTCGTTATAGAGTGCCCCAATGGAAGTGGACGAGCAGTGACCCTGCCATTTAGTGCCTCCTCCAAGACAGTAGCTGATACGGTGGTCTTTATTGGCACTCCAAGTTTACTGATGCGTAAAACATTGTTACATCATCAGGAATTCTTTCATAAGTTCAGAGAAGAGAAGAAAATTCTGAAGAACAAAAAGAGCAGAATAAACCAACCAAACCTAAAAAGGGCAGCAAAAATAGTATTTACAGCACCCAAACTTGAAAGATCTAGCTCCAAGTCGTGGCTTTCTGTTTCAACAGCCTAGACAACCAACAAAGAAATCATGTTCAGCAAAAAATATTCATGTTAACCAAAAGATGAAATGCATCGACATAATCCAATAGTTCACAAAAGCCCTAAAGTGTGGGATGAAAATTTTGACTCTGATTAAAACAAAGGTGACTGAATATCACAACAATAAGCACCCCAAAAATTCTCACCTGAAAGCCGGCAGTGTCATACTGACGCCGTTTGTCTGGATCAGACAATATATTATAAGAAAACGTGACCTCCTTGAAGATATCAGCTGCTTTAGGGTCATTAGCATTTTTGTCAGGATGGTACCTGAATGATACATTGTAGCATTTATCAACAATTTTTCTCTCTTTTACTCTGTTAGATTTGAACCCATTCAAGCCACCAAACTACCACACGGAATCACGGACCAAGGCCCAGCACATTTTCAAAATCCTTTACATTATACAAGATTATCAAGCAAAAACATATAAGAAACTGCAATCTGATGCCTCAAACTAACCCATCACATAAAACTGAACATTCGATTTAAAACCATATTTTGGATACCAAGCGCATTGACCTCACGCAGCAATGTACCTAGGAAGATTCCATCTTTCTACTGTAAATCCAACACCTAAACATCTGAAATTCATGCCTTCGTCTTTGTTTGCATCTAAGTTGCATTTGACTTTGGAATACGCAAATTACCAGCATTTATTTCAATCCAATTAACAACAAGAATCTGTGCGGCTAATTTCACACTCTGATATTCTCAATTACATTAGCTACAGCTCAAATTTAGGAAATTAAATAGAAATTAGCTTCAAAAATTACAGCAGCCACAAGCTCGAACTCATCGAAAAATAAACAAACAAAGTCTAACAAAGTACCTCAGAACTCAAAAGCTGATAAAAAAAAAATCGAAAAATAGGAATAAAATGGAAGATGAACATACTTGAGAGCCATTTTCCGGTAAGCACTTTTGATTTCCTGGTCGGTGGAATTCCTATTGAGGCCGAGGACCTCATAAGGGTCTCGCCGGAGCTGCTTCTCAGCTTCCTGCTTCTCCGATTTCGATCGGCTGCCCTGCATTTTGGAAATTGACGGCCGATTTCTTCACAAAACCCTAGAAATTGCCTCTCGATTACCCCCGAAACACCGAATTCACGACTCCAGGTTGAAATTTTCCCTCATTTCAAAGAAGTGGCGGAGGCAAATCAGCTGTTGCACAGCACCGGAGCATCAGGAAAACCTAGAAAACCAAGAGGCAGAGAGACTCCATGCACATCCAACCTGGAGCCTTGCAGGAGAGAGCAGAGAGAAAGAGACAAGAGAGATGGAGGGAGGAATTGGGTGTCATATGGTTATTATTGTTATAAAGAAATGTGAACTCCTCGCAAATTTGAAAAGCTGGGGTTTGCTGATAACGCACGCCGGGGTGCGTATTACGCACGGGCAAAAGTTGACGTCCTTTCCTTTGCACGGTAGCGTTCGCACGCGATCGGCGTGTGTGGTGTACAAATCCCGCTTGTTTTATGTTCCCTTTCAAGATTGAATTTTCTTAATGCGACTACTGAATTTGTTGAAAGCAATCACAAATTCACAATCACAATTAGGTGTGTTGAATGTGAAATATCCGTGATGTCATTTTGATGGACAAGAATTGTCTGCCCTCCTATTTTCGGTGCCCTTCCGTGCCTTTTTGTTTGTGTGGTTACAGTTAAGTCACGTCAACATTTTATATTACTATTCATTTTTATTTTATTATCTCTATAAAAAAAACAATTAGGAGGGCACGAGAGGGTACTGGAAGTGGGAAGGCAGACAATCCTTGTCCCATTTTGATAATATTTCAAGTAAATAACGTGTCGTTGAAAAACAATTAAATTGCATAATAATTTTTAAATGACTTGGATACCTCAACAATATAATCCCGTTTTGTAAGTAGATTTCTTGCATCAAAGGAAGACAATCATCACTAAACAAAAGACTAATCGATATTGGTATAAATTCTTGATGTTCAGCCTCATCGTTCGTTTGTATTATGATATTTTTCATCTGATACAGACGATAGTAAGAGATGGAGATTTGAACTTAGAATCTTGCCTACGAGGGGAATGTTATTGGCCAACTAAGTTACAAACTCTATGCAAACTCACATTATTGGTGAGAAACTTCTAGGTCTCAAGGGATTGAGGTCAAAATGTGTAAGGATTTGATTACAAAACGTTATAAATGAATTAGAAATGCACCACTTGAGTATCACAAAAACTAATCAATTTTAGTATAGAGAACTGTTATTAGCACTCTAAAAATCTCATTTCACACTCCTCATAAGTGTATTTTTCTTTATAATTATAGAAAATTTAGAATGACAAATGAGATTTTTGGAGTACTAATAACAATTCCTTTAGCATAAATTTATTATGTTTCGTTTTATGACATGTGCCAATACAATTGATGACTAAATGTACAATCAAAGATCGTTTCAATTGCAAAAATATTATGCACACTATACGTCGGTGCATACTTCTGCATAATAAATTAACAGTCACACAAAACTTTGTAACTTTTTAAGAGTGCGCGCTGCGCACCAAAAGCAAGATAGACACACCTCTTCTTGAGGCTCATAGAGAGCTGGGTTGGATCATTGCCTCATAGGCATAATCAAAGCTAAAAAGGCTATTAAGGTATTCAAATCGCAATCAGTGGGGTGGGAATTGAGTTAGAAACTTGACCTCACACTTTTATAGATTATTTATTAATTATAATTAAAAATTTATCGTATAAAGTTGATAAAATATTTATTCTTCCTCTTTCTGGGGAAAGTTTAAATTATTAGTATGATTTATGGACCCTTCAAACTCAAGCATATGATATCATCATATGATCCGCTTGCTTCATACATTGAAATATAATAATATATAATCTATCATCACCCTTTTTGTTGAAAAAAATTGAGAGTGGAACATTTTCCTTTTATTTATTTATTTTATTATTTATTTCTGGAATTAGAAATGCCGATATGATTAAACATAAATATGACAGGCTTGAAATTTCTTGTTGTCTGCAAATTACTGATTCGTGTGAAACTGCAATTTTGTTGTTTATCCGATTAATATTTTCTAATTTATTTTGGTTCCAAAAATATAAGTACAACGGTTTTGAAAATTCTTGCACGGCCTGTTAACTTGATACGAAAATAATATGTTTCGGGTCAACCTTTTAATGAGTATGATTATTATCGAGTCACACGTTAATGATAAATTAACAAATCAGGTTGTTATCAAGAACCAGTTAAGATAATGGATGTGATACAAACACAACCCGTTTGTAAGGTCTAGACATTAGTCATGTCAATTTCTTGTATGACTCATTAACTCGACATGAACTAACACAACTCATTAACGAGTCAGATCGTTATTGAATTACTTGTTGATAACACGTTAACATAACGAGTTTGACACAACAAAAACTATTAAAATAAAGGATATGACGACAAACACGATCTGTTTGTCAGGCCTACGTAAAACAAAGCAATAGGTATGAATGTGTGAGATATATTTGGGCAAAGTATCGGAGTGGCACCAATAAAAGGTGTTAGGAAGCAAGAAAAAGTTTGATGAGGGTGGATGGCTTGCACAATATACGCTACATGCAATGCCCTGCAAATTTTAATTACTTGAGCATATATGTATGGTAAGAAAATCATAACGACAACTGAATTCTATATGCAGCTGAGAGAACAATGGAGAGATATAATATGAAAGTTTATTGTCATGACAGAGAATAAAAGGTTAAGTAACAATAGCCAACATCGGCTAGCTTCATGATGGATGCGTATTTACCTACTAAGAAATGATAGATACTCTTAATTATTTGAGTTATAAGTTGCGGTATTTTTTATTTTATACGTGCGTTTGGCTATTTCTTAATTATTTATGTGCTTGGGTGGTTTAGTTAGAATTTTGTGGGTTTAGTTAACAAAGAAAAAGGCTAGCAGAAGAATACGAGTTGAAAGAAACATAAATTGTGTTCTCAAATTTTGTATGGTTTTGTTATATATATATATATATATATATATATATATATATATATATATTATATACACATACATTTTTTTAATTTTTTATGAGCTTTAGCATGAAGGTTTCTTTCTTGTATGGAGAAGTCAAACTGTTAAGAGGGTGACCCATTGCCTAATCAAGCACTAAGGAATCAACTACTATCACTAAATAATTAAGCAATCAATTTTGTCTTATTAGAATTAATCTAATGTGTTAGTGTGAGAAAGCGAAAATGAGAGATGTAATGTAACACCTTCTCATCCTTATCCACGTCGCATTGATCCATTCTTTCGATAACTCCGGAAAAATATATCATATGAAACGGCGCATTTATCTATACATTTATATTATGTGTTCAGTTTTTTGTCTTTTTATTCAGAAGATAAACAAAAAAAAAAAAATATATATATATATATATATATATAAACACATCTCTTTAGCTTTTGACACACTCACGTTTAATCTTGAGTGTTATTTCTGCTTGACTTATTCAATACCAAAAATCAAAAGAGACGTGTGAGAGCCTAAAATACTGTGAAAATCATCTTCTAAAAATAAAAACTCATGAGACTAGTTCGTTTAAGTTGTCCAGGCCCACATTGTAGCAAAAAGGTTTTTGAGGCCCACCAGAATTTTGATACCAATTTAAAGATTTGAGGCCCATTAGGTTATCATTCCCAGTTTTTGTATTTGTTGGGGTCTGGATTTCATTCAAAAACTTGAGTGTTAACTTTATATGGACCATATAGACCACATTCAAGTTGAATATTATTCGTGTCGTCAATTAACTAACTGGATATTTTAGTCATTTCAACTTTGTCAGCCGAGCTAAAGCTCCAACGTCGACACCTCTTCTTTATGCCCAGCCGCACTCATGACTCAATTGTAAATTTCCTTCATAAGGATAGTACTAATTAGATTCTAACAAGATGATAGGAGCTAATTGGACGGCGAGCAAGGTACTTTTTCTTCTTTCGACCATATTAAGAGCCTCAACAAGATTTTAGCAAGGTCATGTTGGTGCTTCGTATCTTCTTACGGGTTTTTTTTAATAAAAAATAAAATAAACACAAAATACGGGATCAAAACCGGTAAAATTGAAACCACGCCACGACACTGAATTTGATATTTGTGACCAAACGTATGTACCATAAATAACACAAATGCTTATTTATTTAATTAATTAACAACTTGTACATACTTATTAAGATATAAAATTGCATTCGTTAATACTTAATAAATATTAGAAGAAAACAAAAGGAAAAGGATTCGTACGTCACGTGGGTGTTTTTATATGCAATGTGCATGGAACGCGTACCAGGCTTAGTTTCTCATCTCGTACGTACGTAACTCAATTTTAAATGCATAATTGCATTACTTAAGATTAAGAAGGCAATTAAGTCAACTATAGATAATTAATAATTTAATATATATGCTGCTTTAGGCACTAGTGTGAGCATATCTGCAATTACAAAATAAATTAGGTGAGGAGGGTTATTGGACAGATCGACTACCACCACTACCAGTTTTAAATTTTATTAATTAAAAGCATGATTAATTTTGGGATTTAGTTTTGATTAATTTACAACTATATGAACTATATGATATGATCAGACGGACGGAAAACTTCATCGTAACCGTGAATCCAACTCCAACTTTTTATATTAGCAATGACAAAATGTCAAAGAAAAGCCATCGAATCAAAGCCTTTTATTTGCCACTAGAAAAAGCCATCAACCTTATTTCAGTGACAAGAATAATTCAAACAAGTTGTTTATAATTAATTGCAAAGGTTGTTCAAACTACCACTTATGTTAATAATTAATTAAGACATAATTAAGTGTTTTTAATTACTTAATTAGTAGACGACTAAGCAGTGTTCTTTGTTTATTATAACATCCATATATTCCATGATCTGAATTCAAGATCCTTTCTAGAGTATTATGATTCTACTGGAATGGGTCAAAACCAATAAATTAGAAGAAAGAAATTACAAATTATCATACATTAACCTAGTTGTTTAGAATTTTTTTCGGTGTAATATACAAATATGCAATGTCACTAATCCATACGTTATAATATTGTACGTAGACGGCAATTGATATGCTTCATAGATCTGTTAGAGAAATAGACGTTTTATAAAATGAGAGTGTTGCGAAAACACCACAATCGCACTAAAAAATTTGTTGTTATGCTATTTGAAATATTTCACTTCGAAGTTTTTTATTTTTGTTGAAAGAAATTACTGTGCGGCGCACGATTTTTGTTTGTTTGTTTTTGCTTTGTTGTCATTAACGGAGATGAAGAACTTCTAGCGATAGAAAAGAAGTATTATTAGACTAAGACCTAGTTCATCACACTTGAAATTAAAAGAAAATAATTTTTGTAATTAGTTGACTCCTTGAGTCATATATAGAAAATTGAGTCGGATATCAAGTGACTACAATCAACTTTCACTTTTACACTAGGTTTTTTTGAAAAATTAGATCTGTTTTAGGGATGCTAATCTAGATAGTTCAGAAAGAAAAAGAAAACCTATATATAGCACGCACGTAACAAATAAAGAATATCAGGTTTTCTCCATATCAACATATCAAATTTAAACGATAAGAAAAAAAACCCCTTTAACATTACAACTTGAGAACAGAATTAAGTGTAATATCCAGTTATATATCCACGTACACAAGAAATCTGAATTTAAATTCTGAGTTAGTATTCAATCCATATATTTTTTTTTGTTTCAAGTTGGAAGATGTTAAAATAAAAAAATAAAAAATCTCAAACTACTGGAGAAGAAATGGCAGCGTTTGTAATGAACAACCATGCTAAACCTCACTTCTAGAAGATCTCTGAATCTTCGCCGGCGAGCCGAGCCCTAACTGAAGATCTAACGGCTTACAGCTCTGATGAGTCGAAGCAGACAAAGGGGAAGGCATGAAGACGACAGGCCTGCTTTCTCCCGATCTGTCCGTTTGCGTCAACGTAAACTTATTAGGGTTTGTAAGATGATCTTGTTCCCCTGTCTGGGAAGAAGGAAACTGCTGCTGAGGTGGCATGGAATACCAATTGGAAACCTTGGAGTGGGACCCGCTCGACGACCCATAATTTTGATCGAACGGGATGAAACTGATCCGGGACTCTTCGTGAAGGGTGAATGGATGGTCAGAACTGAGATACGAGGAAGGGTCGTAGAACCACGACGGTGCCGCTGTAGAACCATGGTGGTGGAAGGTTTGGAAAGGCTGGAGGTAACTGTTGATGCTGGCTTTTCTGGCTTGAAGCTGGAGCCTTTTCTTCTTCATTCTCTCCTTTTTGTGTGCATTTTGATGTCCACCGAGTGCTTGTGAATTTGCAAACTCCTTGAAGCAATATTGGCACTCGAATTTCTTGTCATCTGGTTCACTTGTTGAGCTCTTCTCATTCTCTCTAGATCGTTCCAATTTTATCGGATGTGAGACAGAGTTCGATGAATTTACACTTTCATCCCCACCACCTTCTGCTGATGACCCTCCTCCTTTGATGGAGGCTTCTTCATTCCTACGTGGATTCAGTTCAAACCCGAAAAGCCTGAGCTTCTTCTCAACACAGGATCCTGCGGAATAGGTTTTCGATTGCATTTCTAATTTTGTAATGTGGGGGAGGAAAAAATATAGGAAGAAGATATTTTGAGTGGTTGTTTTGTAGGGATTAGTTGTTTGGGTTCTCTTCCTTTTATAGTAAACGCTATGGGTTCCAACGATGCATTGCATCTCAAATTATATTGGTTTTTTTAATGCTCATGAATGGTATTAAGAAATGCACACCAGGCGCCAATAAAAAAGACAGAAAAAAGAAAAGTCAGATCGGAGAAGCCGTCTCATGCAAATATCAGTTTTTTAATCCCTTTCAAATTAAGTTAGATGTAGAACAGTAGGAGTAGATGCACACTTGGAAAAGTATGCAACTTTTCTCCAATATCATCATCAAAGGATTCATACTGTACGTTTTCATTGTTAAGCAAGAAAGAAGTCTATTTGTTTGGTTCTGATTAATTTATGTGCGTTTTCATTGTTAACATGAAATAATCTATTTATTTATTTATTCGAGCAATTTTTTAATTGAATTTTTGAACTCTGGGGAGAGCGATTTTAAAATTTTGACATATAAGAAAGATATATTGCGTAATCAACTTAGTTATGCTCAAGTGTTTATTCATTAAACCAGAATATAGCACTTAGAATATATAAAACATGCCAACATAAACCCCCACTTGAGGCATTTTAAAAATGTTTTTTTTAGCCAAAATGGCTCAAAGATTGACATAACTTCTCACTTTGGTATTTGACATTAAAACCGATAGAAATGATCATTGAGTTTGTCCACCGTCAATCATTTAGTTTTTCTACGAAAAATCTCTATTAAATTGAGGGTACTTTTTGTCCAATCAACCCCTCCACTTGTTTTTCTATTTGAATGAGATTTTTCATAGAAATACTAAAATGATTGACGGTGAATAAACTCAAAACTATGAAGCAAGGGTTAATTGCACGTGATTTGTTGAAATGGAAAATCTTTTCGAGGATAACTTCTATCGATTTTTAATGTCTTATATCAAAGTAAAGAATTATATGTCTTTTAAAAACCTTTATTCCATGCTTAAAGTTACAATGAACATAATTAACAAAAGTCAAAGAAAGATGGGAATTTTTAAAAGAAACAGGAGGTTAACTTTGCAACAACCAACAAAATCTTTTTCACTGTACTCAAATGCATATCTTAGATTATGTTACAACGACTTAATGAGTCATGAGTGGATTCATGTATTGTCATCTACCCAAGAACCCTAATCATAATATATTTTTTTTTTTAAAGCGCATTAAAATATAGTTTATTTTACAGGTGTTGGTGCCCAGTCCCATCCACTCCAGGAAACCAATAATGTAATTAATATACAATTCTGGGATCTGTAGCTTTGTGATTAATCAGCTCTAAAATGAAGCTTCTTGGTAATTAGAATGATTATCCTAAATCAACAAACACAATTAAAATATGTGTATTTTGAACATGTTTCTGAATTAATATATACTTAATAGGAACATAGCAAGGCAGATTAGTTGCTAAACAAAGGGAATATTTAAGAAGTGGGCAATGAGGTCAGCATATATACTAATTAGGGTCTTGGATGAGATCTGGCCATATCTTGTGAAAGCAGGCAAAACCTTAATTTTTTATACCCAAAAAACATATGTTTTCAGGTGAAGCAAGTCATCATCTAAATATTATTTTTATGAATTAAGAGAAGCATTTGGGGTGGACAGGTGTTCTGTTTGGACCCCAGATTTTGTAGCTTTGGGTTATACAGATTTTATAAACTTATATTGTGTTGTTATTCCGTTGTCTTTACTTGAGATCTTGTTCATGGTGGACTTAGTCTTCTTCCACCAATTGATATTTTTCTCATGCTCATCAAATTCTCTCTCCTATTTCTTTCTACTCTCTCTCTCTCTCTCTAAAATCGTATTCTCTTGTTACTCAGTACTATGGTCTAAGGTATTCCTTCTCATTTGTAAGTGAGATGTTTTATGTTCGAATCTCGTAGATGACGATTCGATACTAAATTATGTTGTCCATTGTGTGGCTTCGTCGAACTCTCTTTCCTCTTAATCTAAAATATATCGGTGTGCTCAATCAAAAAAGCCATATTCTCTTTTTCTAAATTCCAAATCTTTTTTCCTGCTTTTGGGAGAAGAATTCACAATTCCAACCAGACATGCTGTCATCAAATCATTTTCAATAGTTTGTGGAATAAAAATCAGACCATAGAGAGATGGTGGGTTGGTTTTGATTGATTGATTTCATATAATTCCATTTGATTTGTCCATAATTCGGTTCATGTTTGATAACTTGATATATGATCACAAATGGTGGCCCCTAAACCACCCTATTAAAAAAAAACACCTATTTCCATCCACTACCCTATATTGCTTTGCTTCCCCTTCTGGACTACTTCCCAAACTAATATTCTCTCTTATCTTAATAATCTACAAAGAAAACCAAAATTGACTGAGGCCAAGTAGTTCGTCATGAGAAATAGTATATGGATTACCTGTTTAATTAAAGATCAGGACTACTAAAGTTAAATGAGAGAGTGACAGTTTATATATGTAGTTAATCGGATTGGATGTTTGTCCTTTGAGGATAAAATTTTCCATAGACTTGGGATGTCATGCTGACGGGAATACACTAATTAAAGGTATTTACACATTGTTATATGAAAAAGTTAATAACAGCATATGATTCGTTTATAATACTGCTAACTGATGTTACAGTTGCACGAAAGTTCTTTTCATCTTTTTCTATGTCATCCAATGTATACACATAATTACGCACAAGACTTTCTATAGCTGGTACAACTGAATTTGAATCCAAAAGCCACCGGAGTACAAAGGAAGTTACGTGGCTACCTGCTGCATAAACAAATTAACCAATGCATTAGAGATTAAGTGCCTTTTGGTTAGAAATTTGTCACCCATATTTTCATATAATAATTAATTCAAGCATTACTTGGACATAGTTCATGAAAGTAATGGGAAATTGGGAAGCAAGCCTGAGTCCAAACTGATGCCGCCTTAGTCATTTCAAGGAAAGAGCCAGGTGTGGGAAAACTTATCTTCATATAAGTGGTCCACAACAGTATAAACACATGCCTTTATCATTTTAAACTATTAATTGTATTCCTAGTTAATCTTGCATTAGGGTTTGAAGAAAAACCAGTACTGATAGTGATAGAAGAAACTTCATATGATTTGAACTTTGATCAATATGATGAGCAGTAGAATATGCACCAGCAGAAATAGGTATTATTTTTTGTTTCGGTACATAGCTTTGTAACTATGTTTTTAAATATGCTTTTAGAGTAGTTATGTTGAGAGTGAATTTCACGTAGCAGAAATAATAAATCTTGTATGTGCTTATAAGATATCGGGCTACTCTCACCCAACTTTCTCTATGGTATCAGAGTAGGTTGTCTTATATGCGACGTCCAACAACCATACATAGGCTTAAAAACTCGTCTCACGTAAGAATGCGTGTAGATAGTGAATTCCACATCAAAAAAAGAATGGACCTTGCATATGCTTATAAGAGATTTGATCGGCTACCCTCCATGATAACAATTATTTTATAATAAAACTCCAATTTTCTTCAAGGAAGGTTGACTTCTTGCCATTTTTCAGCCGCAGGTTATCCAAGTCCAAATATTAATCTGAAAGTACTGCCGACATCTTATGTGTGTGTATATAGTATGCAATAACTCGTCTTTACATAACGCGTTCAACTTCCAGGTGCTTGGTATGTATATGATTAGGATAGATGGAAGCCAAAACTAAATTAGTTGGGGCATTTGAATATCTAGCATGGAGTTTCTTATTTTGAAGTCTGTCACAGCTTCTGATATTCTGCACCTTAAACTGCAATAGTATTCTAATTGCTGTGGGTATGTCACTACTTTCGAAAGGTTAAAACTGCATTTTGACAATCAAAATCGCTTCTCACAATGTATAGTATGTAAATGTTAAAAGTGCATACAGATTATAAAAGCGTTTCCTAGGAGAAGCAATTCGAAGTTTCTTTATTTATTTAATTTTTTTTTTCAAAAAGCCATTGAATTTTAATAAAAATTTCCACATATTTATAGTAAAACGAAGTTATGAGCAAAAGTATTTATAAAAAGTAGTCTTTAACAAACTCTTACAAGGTGGTGTATTATCATATGCATGGAGTTGTTGGTGAAAACTTATAAGCAATCGAATTTTCCAATTAAAAGGGGGAAAAAGAGCAAGGGACAAATCATTCTACATCTCAAAAAATTTCTGGTACCATCAATTACTATATAAACCAACAACGATCTCTAATCCAAAAATGTGGCAACTGGTTGAAGGGCCAGTTTATAACACCTCGATTGAGAGCAAGTACATGCTGATCATTTCATAAAGAAAATAGCTCTCTAATATGCGCTTTCAATCACCAAACAGTAACTGATGGCCCCAAAATATCTTGGTTTTCAACGTATATTTGTAGTTGATGGCCGCTTGGAACGAGGCAGGAGGGCAAGAAGAAGCTTCTTCCTAGGTCCCTGCAACAAAATCGATCTTCATAAGAACCATCAATGCATTATATTTCGAGCAGGTTACCTCTATATTCTAAAACGAGAACCTCTAATACATTCACAACCCACATCCAAAGGTCACAAGGCAACACACAGACACGCACCCAGACTGCTGACGAGGGGCCATATACATAAAGGTGGGGATTTGAACAAGTACCACAATAGACACTTTACTAGATGGTCCAATGCATGCAACAGAATACTACTCGGAAAACTAATAAAGTAGGATTAAGCAACAAAACCCATAAAACACCTAAGTTGGACATCATTTAAAAAGTAAACTAGAAAAAAAAAGAATACGGGGGAAAGGCAAGTACCATAGGTATTCCCAGCTCTTTGAGATCATTTTCTCCCATCTGCTTCAATGCAGTCATATCAATCTGTGTAAGATCAGATATATCAATTATAAGTTGAATCGGAGAGAAGCTATTAATTTATTTACGTCCATAGCAAGCACCAAAACTCCAAAAGTTAGCCATATGGGCAATTCTGATAAAGGTTAAAACACTTCCAAACATTAT